GGTTACGTTTAGCCAACACACACACACGTGGTTACGTTTAGCCAACACACACACGTGGTTACGTTTAGCCAACACACACACACGTGGTTACGTTTAGCCAACACACACACATGGTTACGTTTAGCCAACACACACACGTGGTTACGTTTAGCCAACACACACACGGTTACGTTTATCCAACACACACACACGTGGTTACGTTTAGCCAACACACACACACGTGGTTACGTTTAGTCAACACACACACGTGGTTGGGTTTAGGACAAAGAACAGGGTTTGGCTTTACAGTCTTACAGGAAGTGAACACCGGCCTCTCTGATGAAAGTCGGCGGTTGTTGGACCCATCCACCTCGTGTCCTGCCCGCCCTACTCACACTTTTGTCGCCTCAACTTTGATTGATGTCCCGCCATGTTTCCCCGGGACCTGGCACCATTACACAATAGTGGTGACTGGCTGCATATCATGCTGACATGAAAGGGCGGCTTTGTTCACCGGTGTCTGACGCTGGAAGTCACTGCCCACGCATTAGTATTCGACAACTTTGGAGTGAGACCAGGTTGACGAGCGATGATGCAACAGCATAACAAGCCACGCTGATGACGAGTCACTGTTGAAGAGTTGCTCAAGCGCTTGTTGACGTCGTGGTCACAGGCTTGTGTGTTTCTGCTACCTGTCATGAAGCACCTCGACTTAACGTCAAGTTTTTATTTGGTCAAAAAAGTATCTCTACAGTCCGTCAGTATCTGAGTCCCATTCTAACGTCACATTTCACCGCCCCGTTGTATCGTTGTATACTACCATAATGTCAGCTAACAAAAGCTAAATGACACAGGACCACAGCTGGAAACAAGAACACATGATTGGTTGATGCTTCGCTGCGTCATTGGAACGCTGGAAAAACTTGAGGCCAGCTCAACTTTTGTTTGCACTGCGTCATACGTGTCAGAAGCAACAAGTGTCAGACATCACTCTGTCAGTGAAAATGACCTGTAGCCTGTTGAGGCGCCGCTCGTCGTGTGAATGCAGAATAACTGACGGCGTGTTTATGGTGTGACTGATGTGAACCTCAGACCGTTGACTCGACTCTCAGTATAAACGGCTCTGCTGCAGCTGCTGCGCTGACAGCGCTGCATTGTGTGAAGTGACGGACAAACACAAAGAGATCATTCCAGAGTCCACAGCTTTGTCCAACACACACACACACACACACACACATGGCAGTCTGGGTAACATGCGGTCAGTGATGGGGAACACCCTGAAACACACACTCACAATGACATACAGTGTGTGTGTGTGTGTGTGTGTGTGTACCTCAGGGAGAATAGGGGATCATGTCTGTATGTGTTTGTCTTCAGGGCTCTGCAGCCCGATCAATACCTGAAACACAAACAGAGACAAACAGTTATTAACATTATTTACATTTAATCAGAGGATAAATTCACTGATTTTAACGAGTCGTCAGGAACTAAAGAAAATTTAAACAAAACATAAGAACAAAAAAAGTCATAATAAAAATAATAAACTTTAAAATAAATCTGTGATTTCATCTGCACAACAGGTAAATAAAAAATAAGATAAATCAATTAGAATAATAAAATAAACAATAATTTTCAGACTAAATAACAAAGCACTGAGTCTACATGTAAACAAACAACATGAAGGCAAACACAATGAAAAACAACATAATAAGGCAGGAAACAAACTGTTAATGAAACACACATCACAGCACACACTGTGGAATTTAGAAAAATACTTTTATAAAAGCTTAATTTCTAAATTTATTCTCACATAAAAAAAAAAAACTAAAAAATACCCAACCAAAATAATTAAATAACTAAAATTAAAAAAAATAAAAGATAAAAATTAAGATAAAAATAAACCAAAACAAACAAAAAAAACCAAATAGACAGATAAATTTAAAAAAAACAACCAAACACTCAGCCAAATAAACTAAACAAATAAAATTACAAAACTAAAATAAACCCCCCAGAACAACCCAGCCAAAAGGAATACACAAAAAACAAACAAAAATAAATTTAAAACAACAACAACAACAAAAAACAACCAACCAATAAAAATAAATAAATAAACTCTGGGAAAAAAACAAAACACCCACTGACAGGCTGGATACACAGAAGACAGTAATTATGAAAAATAATAACACATGGTTAAACTACCATAAATAATATTTAACAGTATTTAAAGAAAACTAGGTATACTAAATTTGAGTTGAGTTCTTTTGTCTTCATCTTCTTTTGTAAAGAAATTAAACATATATATATATATATATATATATATATATATATATATATGTACATATGATGGTGAGAATAAATGAGTATACTGAAGATTAATGTTATTTAACACATGATGCAAATAACTGTACATATATATTTGTTATTTTTATTCTGTTCTATTATATTATTTTGAACACTGCAGCAACACTCCTCAGCTGCAGGAGGTTTGTGATTTCCACAACAGCAAAACTCTATTTTTCTTGAAAGAAAAGTTCAATTTAAACTCATGAAAATTAATTTATTATTAATTTATTATTGGAAACATCACTCTTCACAATAGTTGAAGTGTTTGTAGACAGATCTTTATATTGTGTGTTCAGCTGCTGCGCTCTGACTCAAACACCCTCTGTTCTATTTATCATTAACTGGTTTTAATTTATATATATGTTCTGTTATTTTCTCTTATATTAATAAATATAATCAGAAATGTTGGAGCTGTAGAGTGAAGCTGATCTCAGAGTTTTTTTTTGCGTGTCTTTTCATATTTCTGTGGACAGACCATCAGATTTCAGTCAGACTGTCTCTAAACGCTCCTGTATTGATCTCTGCTGGTGTCTGATGTCACTGAATAATTAATAGTTTGATATGTGGTGAACTGGCTGACTGTTTCAGTCGGACTGGGAGCTGTGGTCACTCTGGAAACAGAAGGACACTTCCAGGCTTCGTACGAGGCTCCTCTGTATTCTGAACACTGATGAAGAAGATCTAACTCACACTACAACTGTGTCAAAGTTCTGCATCCTTAAGTAAAAATATAAAAACTTGTTCTTTGTTTCCTGTTTAAACTTCTAATAATGATTAAAATAAAATATCTGAGCAGTTTAGAGGAGAAATGTCTCTTTGGTGGAGCTGAGACAGTTCATGAGGAGACTGAGTCCCTCGAACATTTTAAGCACCTTTTGTTGCCAATACTTTGGTGTGTTGAAGTTCAATTTTCAACGCAGAACATTTACCTGGAACAGAGTAAATATAAGCCCCGTCTCCACAGTAAAAGTTGTGGATGGTCCCAACAGAAGCGTTCCTTAGCGTCCCCATGTTTGGTCCCCCCTCTGTTGGGGTACCTAGCACACAGATCTGGTACTAAAAGGTGGAGCTAGAAACCCTGCAGTCTGATTGGTCAGTAGAGGACACTCACTCTGGTTTTATGTAACCTCTGTTCATACATCAGTAAACTACAACTATAAAATGAAAGAGAAAAAATAACTTCATTCACTGGGCCGACTGCCGGCAACTTTTAAGGTGGAACGTTAACTTGTAATGTTACTCAATGCATGAGTTGATGACGTGAATCCATCAGCACACCTTAAATTTCACTGTGACAACTTTGATCATCACTTTAGTTTTTATATGACACACACTTTTTGTAATGACTTTAAAAATATAGATGAATTTGGAGCGGATTATGTGAAGGTCATATATTCTAATCCTCACTTCCTGTGGGCTACAGCAACATTAAACCCCTGAGCTTGCCTGAGAAGGACTAAATGCACAAAGCTGCTATTTTTAAATATCCCATGGAGAGAGACTCTCACTGCAGCCTGTTCTATTTTGTTGTGAAAATGTGGGCGTGCAGCCTCGTTCTGTGGACGATAAACCAGGTGCAGACTTCCATCTGTGTCACCGCTGATGAGGAAATACAGTGAGTGCTGGACGGAGCAGTGAGTGACAACAACCCCGCCCACATTTAAGAGGACTGTCTGAACACACCGAGGGTCTAGGTACCATGTCTGAAGGCTTACTGCTGGTCCCAAAGGTGCTGGACTGAAAGTGTGTGGTGGAGACGGGGCTTTAATGTCACTCCATCCTCTCCACCTCCTGATGACACAGTCAGTCATACACTACGTCACTTTGCAAACATTGACATTAAATATATAAAATGTAAATAATTTGTGCAGAAATGTAGAGTGCCAACATTTCTTCTCCCTTCAGCAGCAGATTCCAGAGGAGAAGCAGACCTCAGTCTGTCTCTGGAGACAGATCAATTACAACCTAATGGCTCCTGCTGATCAATAATCTGATCGATAAACTGGAGGCATCGGGTATCAGAAAAAGGTCGACTCACGTCTTCACAGTTTCTCTCTGCAGCGCCGACTCTTCACATCAGCAGAGCAGACTGTTCACATGTCTGACACACAGAGCACAGGAAACAGCCTCTGACCCTTTCAGAATAAAGTGTCAGACAGACAGGTGAGCTCAGTGCAGCTCAGTTCAGGTGTCAGGGCGGACAAACAGGATCAGCAGAAATCTGAATGGACCTCTGAACAGAGTCGTCCTCCTGTTTGCTCTGCGTCTATTTTCAGATTATCTGTTTTTATTTCTGGGAAGTCGACGCTTCAGGAGTTTGATCTGAAATCTGACCAAAAAGTCAACATGAAGCTGAGCAACGTTCACTGTGAACGAGTCAGCTGACCACATGAACTCGTCCTGTTCACTGACGAGGAAACGACAGACACGTCTCTGAGCTTGTTTATTTCTCTTTTTCTCTGCACTGTGTTCTGTGTGTGTGTGTGTTGGTTATTAGTTGAGTATTTTTTACTGACTGCTCAGCGTGTTTATTGTTATTTGTCTTTTGTGTATTATTTTATCTTTTCTGTTTAATGGTAGTTTAGTTTTTTTGTCCACTTTTCTCTCATTTTTTTGTCATTGTCTGTTTCTCCAAACACACACACACATGCACAAACAGGACCTATTCATGCACTAAGTGGAGAAGTGTCAGAGCGAGTCGGTGCCTTGCTCAAGAGCACCTTGGCAGCCTCCAACTGCCCAGGAGGTGAACTGACACCTCTCCAGCTATGGAGCACGCTCCATATTTTGGTCCAGACGGGGACTTGAACAGGCGACCCCCCGGTTCCCAACCCAAGTCCCTATGGACTGAACTACTGCCGCCCCAATTGTACGTATGACCTCTCCTGACACCTTTCTAATTTTTTCCTTTTTACTTTTTAGATTTTATGCATCTTTACGTGTGAGCAGATAAAAAATAAAATAAAACTAAACTAAAATGAAATAAAACAGAATAAAATAAAATGACATTATATAAATTTAAATTAAACTAATTTTAACTAAACTAAACTAGAATAAAATATAACAACATTAAATAAATCTAAACTACACTAGTCGTAGTAAAATCCCCGTGCGACCCTAAAATCATTTCCCCTGTAGATCAGCATCATGAAAGAGTCGTCTGTGAAATAGTTAACAGGACAGCTCCAACTGCAAACAGGATCCGTTCTGATGTTTTTGATCCATGGAGGTTTTATATAAATAAAGCCTTCCCTCAAACTGAGAAAAGTGATTTAAAAATCTGTGATGTCATCTCAATATAAAGTCTACGAGACGTGCGGGGCCAGCACGAGAAACACAGCTGTGCATATTCAGTGGGTCACAAACCGCACAAGTAAATCTGGGAGCTGGAAACTTTACTTTACCGACTCATCTCTGGGTTTTAGGACTCATTCCTAGAGCCGTCTATAGCAGCTAGAAAGAGTCCCTCAGAATGGCGTTCTACGAAAATTCAGTTCACCAATTCAGTATCTGACCAAATGTCTCCCCTTCTGTTCCTGAGATATGACGTGAAACATGATGATGTCACAGTCAAGCTGACCTTTGACCTTTTGACCTTCATTATTTCATCCTGTTAGACATTTGTGTCAAGTTTGGTCAAAATTAGTGAATGAAATCTTGAGTTATGGACAAAACATGTTTTGTGAGGTCACACTGAGGCTTAAAGAGACACCTCAGTCTGATTATCAGACTACACAGAGAATATGATCCAGTCGAGGTAGTTGATTCTCAGTCTGAAATATGAGCTGACATGAGAAACGTCTGGAGGACGATTACGGCCCAAAGCTGGTGTTGATCACAGCGGGACCGACCCGACTCTGCTGACTGCCTCTTAAAATACTCCAATCTGATTCACAGCAGCAGTGATGATACTTTAAACGGCTCTGTGATGAATTCTGATTGGCTGTCAGGAGTTACTTTGAAACCAGGTGAACGTCTCTTTCTGTGTCGTTTTCCGTGTGATCATAAACTGTGAGCGCTCCTGAATCCTTCGCCTCCGCCTCCGTACACTGTGAC